CTGTACCCCAGTTCTGTATGCACAAATAAATAAATCTTTAAAAAAAGAAAAGCACTGGTTTGGGTTGATCTACTGTTTGCTTTCTACTACCTACAGTAGTAGAAAGTAAGCATACAGCACATACAAGTTAACACTTTGCACTCACAGAATATTGTCCCGAACGCTGGCTAAGCAGGGAAGTAGGCTGCAGAGATTCAAGAAGTATTTCACACTCGACATTACCGCTATTACAGCCTGTGCACTAGGTCCAAATGCTAGTCTGGCCTCCACAGCAAAAGGATTTGAAATGGAGAAAGTTTTATCACAAGTAATTTATATCTCATATCCATTACTTCATTTTATCCTAGGAAGCAGACATGCCCGGTATCGATTTTCTTACAATCTGCAGCTGAGAGGGTAAGATGCCCCAATATTAGTAAATGGCTTATTCTGAAGTTTTCCTCTCAGAACATTTTACCTCCACAACCACCGCCATTCCACTTACTGGTAGTTAACTTCAAATTGGGAAAGAAAAGAGGAGCAACAGTTTACAACACTGTATTTTAATTTTACGTGCATGAAAACCGAATTGACATGGCACGGTGTGGCCACTGGTCAAGCTGTCAGACGAACAGAAGAGAACTGTGGACAACTAACCAAACTTAGAGTTAAGTTTGCGTGAAAACGACTCAAAAGACCCATTCTCTTTAGATCATCGAGTGAACTGAACGAAAAAGACGTGTCCGGGCTCAACAGTGACCAGCTCGTGTTCCCACAATACCTTACATCTCTTCCAAATGAAATTTTGCTGACCTCGAAATAACCGATTCGGGGTGGGTAGGAAAGAACGTGCAGGAAGTGAAGACGCAGAAGGGAAACCATGTCTTAGGTACCACCCCAAGCCCAAGCAAGGGGCGCGTCGCCTTCCCGAAGCACGACCCCGAGACGTGCTGCGGGCGGCGTCCTGGCGCCCTGACCCGGCCTCGGAAGGGTGACCCGGGAGCTGCGACAACAGCACAGAAGCTCCAACACGTGGCCCTGCTTCCCGGACCGCCCCATTCCCCTTTCCGCTCCTTGTGCTTCAGGCTCAGGGACTTGGGCTTTCTGGACTCTACCGGGAGGTATTGTCGCTGCCGGTGGAGAACGCAGCTTAAACCCTGGACAAGCCCTGCCCGGCCCGGTGCTGTGTACCTCAGAGTCAAATCTCCAAATAGGCGGGAGAGCAAGTAAGCAGAGTCTCGGCGCAGAGCAGACGACCGGAACTACACCCTCCACTTCTCTGATTGGGTAAACGCGCAAAGGGAAATGCAGAGGATTGGTCAGCCGCAGAAAGGCGGGCCGCAGAGCCGGAAAACCAAAGAGGCGGACTGTGACGCCGAGAGGGCCAAGTACGAGCTCCTCTCCTGATTGGAGCAAGGCAGGGTGTGTGCGCCTGCGTGAATCTAACTGACGCTTATCGCCGCGATCCACGCCCCCTTTATTTTAGGTTTAATGGAAGTTACCGCCACCGCCTACTTTTGGCAGTAGGGCCGAAAAAGGGCAAGAATAACTCGGGCTCCGCCTCTTCCAGTTTATGCTGCGATTGTGAAATACGTAGTCGTTGACTCGGGTCCTGAAATTTACCCGTACGCACTCAGAACTTCCAGGTGAGAACGCGCAGGAACCAGAATTTCACGCCCTCGTTAGTGTGACTGGCACTGTTGAAAAGTTAACCCTTTGAAGGAGGCAGTGGCTCCGCCGTGGAACTCTGGGACTTGTAGTCCCGGACGCCCGGAACCTAGTGCTTTAGAAGTGGTTATTTCTGAATACTGCTCCCGCCCGCTGACTTTCATTGTCGTTTTTCCTCTGTGCGGTGTGTGCTTTTTATCCTTTCACTCATCTGCACCATTAATACTAAAGAACACTTAAAAAAACTAGAAAGACTTCATGTATGCTTGTGAAAGATAAATTATTAGTATTTCACACTATTTTTTGGTCTGTTTTGTTTTACCGTGCTTGACCATATTAGGTAGATTGTAAAACTCTTTGCAAAATTTTACTATTACAACAAAGCAATCTTTAATTTTCACATTAATGCCTATTTGAGAATATTTGAAAAGTACTCTTAAAATTTAGCATTTATACATACTCTCATGGTACAGGTAAGTGGCTGCTTACCTAAATCAAGTTTTGATATGACGTGAAGCAGAATTACCGTTAAAATGTCAAGTGCGATCAATTTCAGGAGTACACATATTGTACACTATTCATATATTATTGTGTAATGAAGACATTATCAGTATTTATGGTAACAAGTCTTAAGACGATTTCCCACCTTTATTGAATCATGGAACTGTTTTACTTCAGTGAACCCATTTAGTAATATTTCATCACTTTTGTGTTTAACAGAAGTAAACATCAGATTTTAATATGATTAAAAATAGATTATAAATAACCAAAAACTTCCTGCGTGGACTTCTCTCTTTCACATACTTTTTCCTATTTAGCATAGTAAAAACTTTTTATTTGTGTAAGAAAAAAAACATGATTTGTTATGTATAATAGTTTCACATTTCTAGATTAAAAATAAATAACTATGGGATAAAATAAGGCAAAAAAAGGGCTTGAAGACTGATCATTGAAAGAAACTACTGCATTTTTATTTAAAAGTTATTTTTCTAATTTTTTATTTCTTGTTTCTAAATTTATGAGAGAAAATTTCAGGTTACTTGTAAGTGAAAACATGGGTGTAGAAATTCTTTTTGGTCCGGTTAAATGAAGAGCCAAATTAAGTGTTGTTATTATAGCTCTGCTTTTAATGTTTTATTTGAGATACCAAGTTAAATATGTAGATATGAAAATGACCCCAAGGCCAAAAATATAGAATTATCAATTTTAATGCTTTCCATTAACTGACATCTTTGTGGTATTTTCCTTTTGCCTCTTATTTTAGCTCATTGCTCCAGTTGGTATAGAAATGATATCCATATCGCTAAGAATGAAAGCCTTTAAAACTGTCAGGATTAAGAGTGCTGCTGTGGTTATCAGTGTTTAGCAGAGGGATAACCAACTTACTCGTGAGCAAATTTTAGCTGTTTTTTTATTAACGGTTCTAAATGCTCACTCAGCAATCTTTCGGAAGCTCCCAAAGTGTTCCTTTCGAAGAGAAAACAGTTATTTGTTGGAAATCTAGAAATAGAAATAAAACCAGTACCATTACCGCCTTTTAAGATGTGAACCTGGAATCTTTGTACACCAATCTGTTGGGAAATAATTTAAGGAATGACTTCAAAGTGAGAGAAATGCAATAGGACTCTTGAGATGCAAGAAGAGAATTTCACAATCATTATTTGTACTTACTTTTTAGTCTCAACATTTGTCTTTCCATTTCTGTTTTAGAAAAAAAAATTGTACAAGGCATAAAAAGTATAATACATTTTTTTAAATCTGTGTGTTTTATTAACAAAATTGATAATATGAATTTTAATGAAGTTAATACAGTTTTATTAAGAATTATTTCATCCAACAGGGTGGGAAAGCGTTAAAGAAAAAATTACTCCTGATACTTGTTAAAGACAGTAGGCAGACTTTATTCAAGGGGACTGCTATGATGTGGTTTTGTCATATGGGGAAAGACATTGGGCTCAACAATGAATACAACAGGAAAAGTGGGAGTTTGTAGGAGCAGAGTGTAGGTGTCAGAGGGTGGAAAGTTATGAAGAGAAAACGTGTAGAAAAGGGATCCTATTAGATCAACACAACAGGGTTCTTACTGAAAGCAGAGTAACTGGACATCACATGGAGCATAGTGGAGGATGAGGAACTGGTCAGATATTGAGGGAGGGAAGAGTCTGGCTAAACTGACTTAGTAAGAGACTAAGAAAGGTCATGGGACCCAGGGTCAGGCACACTAAAAAAGAGAGTCTATCTGTGTAACCCCATACCTGCTCTCACTCCACACCTAAAAATACTATATTTGTTGTTAGTAAAATACAAATTCCAAATTGTACATAATACTACTTGTAAATAGTCATGTGACTCAATCACTGTGTCAGGACTTAAGCAGGGAACAGAACCCACAGGAAATATATGTTAAGGGATTTTTTTTGCAAAGAACTAACAATTGTGGGGATTCAGTACAGATGATCCCAAAATCTGTAGAGCAGGTATACAGGAAAGAACTTATACCTCTAAGGCTTAAGTTAAAGTGTCAGAATTTCTTCTAGGAAAGTTCAGCTCTGCTCTTAAGGAAATCTCCTTTATTAAAAAAAAATTGAAGTCTGTTCATTATGAACATTATCACACATACAATACACTCTCAAAGCCAAACACAAGTGAAGGCCTTCAGATTTTTCAAGAATAGTATTTCAGGCTTGGGAGTCATTTCAGAGAACATGTTTGATATTTTCTTGTATTTGTGGTCTTGGGTTGGTGATAGCTTACCAGATGTAAATGCCAATCTCATTTTCCCCTTTCTAATAAAGTATGTACTAGCAGGAGAGCCCTATCTTCAAACTCCATCCCAGCCTGCCTAACTCCCTACTTTGGCTGGCTAGTTCTTGAGAATTGGCCTAAGAGTTTACACTCAAAGCCTCTGGCACCAGTCTTAGACACCTTATTCTATTGCCCAACTCTTGAATCTCAGAGCCCCTTGAAGATTTCCCAACACATGTCAGGTCTGTGCTTAGGTGCATGCCTCTGCTTTAGAAAGATTACTTCCTAGTAGGCCATTGCCTCTAGAGCTTTAAAAAAAAAAAAAAGTCAACAAGCCTACAAGCCTGCCCTTGAAACCAGAGGGTGGGGTGATGGTGAGAACATCCTGTGACAGGTGTGAGCTGGTTTATCTAGTCCACATGCCAAACTTATTTTCAAGATAGTGGTGGTGTTTTAACTCCTTCGGTTTTAAGATGGACTTTGCTACTTACTAATGTTAATGAACTATTAGTTTAGACTAAAAGTTAAGTTTAAAGTTGGAAGGAGCAAGAGTGGTGCTAAAACTGTTAGGTATGTTAACCAAAAGTACTTTCTACCTGTAGAAAACCCTTTCCCAGAGCTGCTCAAAATGACTAACCTGTATGTTCTCTTCCTGACACTTCTGAAGAATGATCAAGTAGTAATATAGGTCAGCATTCTTAACAACTAGTATCTGAGTCTCCTATGTAAGAATTAGCACGATAGCTTTCTTAAACAAAGAAGCCTGGTTAGGATCAAAAGAACAGCTAAAGATCTTAATAAGAATAAATTAACTTCCTTCGTAAATAAAATATAAAAGTGCCTATTTGATCATATGGTGTGGATTCAAGGATATGCCACAAGATTAGCTCTAAATAGACGTAGCTGTGAATTGAATTACACATTTACACCCTCTTTTTTTCTTGTCTCTTCTTTCAACCACTGTATCTTAATTCTAGTGTTAGAGCTTTAAAAATTTTCAGTATAGAAAACTATATCATGCAAAAGTGGAAAATATATCTGATGAATCTTTATGTATATAATCCCCCAATTCAACTGTTGTCTAAACTTAATATATATCTACACTTACACCCACATTCCCAGCACTTCTCCTATCAGATTATTTATCAGCCATTCCAGATGTCATTTCATTCATAAATATTAATCTTTGTATCTCTAAATGATAAGGATTTCTTTCCCAAGCATAGCTATGAGAAGCAAGTATTCTAATAAGTTCTATTGTATACAAAACTAAGATGTGAGATTCTACACAGTTTTTTTAATATTAGTAAATCTCAAATTATTCAGTGAATATAGTATCTCCCTCTAAGGCATCTTTGAAGGTTAATATAACCTAAGTGCATTCAATGCTAGCACAGTGCTTTGAGTATACTGCCACTGTAGGTTTGCAGGAATTACAAGTTTGAATTCCAACTTTTGGTCTATTGCTCAAAGAGCCTTAGGAATAATGGCCCAAAAAAATGATGTTTACTGAGCCTGTTGGTGGTTGAAACTGAGGCTTGAAAAAGAAAACAAATGCTAACCTTAGAAATTAAGGAAGTTTTAAATGAAGTAAATAAGTATATACTAGAGTACAGTACAATATTAAACAAAGAACTAATCAGGAATTGATGTGAAATAAAGACTATTTGATGGTTCTTGATATCCTTAGGATTTTCCTTCTCTTCAGTTGACATAATGTGATAACACAAACTATTGATCTGAGTTGTAAAACAAATATGAAAGTCTTCTGTTTCTTGTTGGATTTCTGGAACTTTCAGCCTCCAGGAATAAAAATGGTATCCTTACTCATTGTCTGC